TGCCCCAAATCATTTTTGTTGTTTTATATTAAAACTTGTGTTTTTTTGACGAAACCTGGAAAATCCCTCTAAAATAAGAATTATCCTCGTGAGGAAGATTTGGGGATGTTAAAATATTTCCAGTATCCTTTTAGATAATCAGGTTATGTTAATTCATCTTTCGAAGGCCACCTGTAGGCATATTTCAAATCCGTATGAATGTTTCATCTTTAACATAGCTGCCCGTTTCCGAGCATGTCCGTCTGCTCAGGCCCATTTATGTTTCTTGAACACACAGTCAACTTCTGATTTCTACTGCAACTATGCTGAGCGGACCTTACTTACAGTTTATGTATGTGCCCTACCAGGTCACATGCTTCTTTGAATTCAGTTATTTTTCTATACTTGTTGCCAGCCATGGTTAGAGTCCAGTTTGTCCTGCTATTTAACACATACCAGGAGGAAGAGATGGAGTCATCCCTTACCAAGCGGTATTTATGCGAAGAGGAATGTAAAAATCTAGACCGGAATTGCTACACGGGTTCCCGAATTCTTGTTCCACACTACTTCAAATCAAAGGTTAAGTAGAATTTCCCCATGAATAATGGAACTAGTGAAAGGCTAGTGGACTTGAGAAATCTATATGCTCTAGATATTCTTTTCAGAGAAAGATTTTATAAATTACAGTCGACAACAGTACTGGCTGCTGGATCGATAAATGCCGAATTTTATCTTATAGGGAAACGGTTAATAAAACGAGTGGCAACTGGACGTGATCTGTTCGAACTTCAACTTGATTCGCCGTTTTTATTCTCAGTTCCTATAACCACTCGACCAACTTCACCTCCCCTAAAGTGTTGTAGCAGTAAAATGAATTAGAATAATAACGAATCAATTTAAAGTTACATGATGTATTTATTCTGATTCTTATATTACATGAGCAAATTCATATTAATTCTCACTGACCTTTTTTGATTGTTTTATTTTTCTCTTTAAATTTCTCTTATTTCTTCAGTATTCTATCTTGTGTATTTTTCACCTTTCACTATTCTCATTCTTTTATTTTACTTTCTTTTCCCTTCTCATTTGATATTAACCATCTTAATTGATGACCTTCTTTCCTTTCGCTTGTCCCATGAAGATTCGTTTTAAAGTAGGTTGATTATTTTATTCAAAAAGTGACTGTAAACACAGCCTCATTATACTGAAAGGTGAACTCATCGCTGGTTGAATTGAATGTTGTACTCTTAAAAGTAGAGAAAAGGAAAAAAAGCAAGAGATATAATTTTTGAAAAAGCAGCACCAATACGTGAATATCTCAGGGCAGGTGAAAAAACTAGTTGAACTTGTTGGTTATTAATTTTAATTTTTTTTGGTTTGTTTTTAATTTTAGTATGTCTTTATTTTTGATTTCTTTTTCTAGAAAAAAAAATAGGATTAAGTTTCGTTTGTTAACAGTCAAGATTTTAGCAAGTTAAAGAACATGAATATGCTGACAACGTAAAGCAAATATGCCTTATAGCTTCAAAAGGAAACAAGATGGAGTCATTAATGACGATAAAGCAAAGTCAATGGAAAAACGGATTTAAAAAGTACGCTTATAGTTTTAGCGGGTGATTGAAGAGGTCAGTGAAGTATCGTATCGATTTTTTCTTTTGTCCTACTTTCTTCGCTTTTATTTGCTTACAAGTCAACCGTTAAAGTGAATGCACTTTTTTTACACACGACCTCTTTGCACGGAAAGCACAATCCACGTCTTAATGATTCTTCAAATAAAAGTAAAGGCAAGATTACGTAAATGGATAATCTTGATGTAATTGTATTGAACATTGATTCTGTTTGAGTTAGAAAAATACAATATGTGCACCGGATATATTAGGATTTCCGTGATAAACAAGGATTTGCTCAGATAAAGAGCCTGAGAGCTGACCTCTACACTGATCAAACCCTCACAGCCCAATCGAGGAATAGGTTTACAGCCATATCACATTGAAACATCGGTTCCTGTACGATCAACTAAGTTAAGCCACATTAAGCCTGTTCAGCACCTAGCTAAGTGACCGCTTGTGAATACTAGGTGTTGTAAGCATGGATGTGCGGGTGGTGTAATGGGAAATGGCTCGGAATTGTTAATGGGAGAGCCGAGTTCCAATACCCGTTGAATTCGTTATATTCTCTTACACAGAAATACCCTTGTGAGTGGTAAGAATCCACCTCCTCTTCCCCCAACCATCGGTTAATTAATAAAACTTATATCACTAAACCATTCTCAAAAAGTCTTAAAATGTAAACAAAAATTCTGGCGTTAAATAACCTGCAAGTATTTGATAAGCCGTAGAAAATGAGTCAAACAATGAGGTAATGACTTGCTTGTATCACTTAGTACCCTAAAAACCTAACTAATAACATTTTATTACCGAGCTGACACTAAATTTTCTCCAGTCCTGATGAACGATAGTAATCTCAATAAGACATGTCTCCTTAAACATCTCTAGGGACACTCTAGAAAGTACCTGTCCCCTCCTGCCATGCACTGTGCTCTACCTTTTAAAAAGTTACTTTAGACTCCCAAGTTAATATTGCTGCCATATCTGGGCTGGAGCTACCCCATCCTCAATTTCAAAAGTATTTACACGGTTTTGTGGGTGTTTATTTATCCCCCTGAAACCATAGACTAAACGCTAATAGTCTTTCACTATTCTATTGTCATTTTCATGGAAATTGTTCACACGAGCTACATTCTTTGACCCCACCAGTTCAGATCTGCATAGCTGGGACACGCCCTTCCATGTACATCTTTGACGCATACTCATTTCCTTTATATTCCATTGGTAAGGAAAATGTTCTGCTCAGTCTTTTACCGGATCTGTTGCTTTGTTCTTCCCCGATTACAACAGACTTAACCTCTTCATGTCAATCTTTATCTATCCTACATATTCTCTTAATATGCACTTTTTAATTATTCGTTTTTTAATTATTCGTTTTATACCCTTAAAACAAACCCTTTCAGTATCCATGTACCTTGAGTAGTTCTTGAGACTTGTATTATATAAAGAATAATATAAAAATATATAATGATCGTTAATGCATTTACAAACAAAACGCCTGTAAATGAGAATAACATAAACCTGTAATACCGGCCTGTTTAAAGGTTCAAATAGTCTGTACATTTTACCGATGTCAAACACTGGTTATCAAATCCATGAAAATTTCAAGAATATGTAATACTGATTTCTGTTGTTTTCTTCTTCTACCACATCCATCGAAAACAAATAGTGTGACATTTACCAAAAATACAAATGCTTCGCTACCGACAAATCAATAAAATTCTTCCCGTCTCAGTATCTTCGTAAATGGTACTTTCGATCAGGTACAATATACTGACAGCTACTATTTATTATGCAAAAAATACATAATTGTGGCCCAAGACAGAATAAAGGGGAGGGGTTAAGACTAGTCATCACTATCTTATACCTAGCTAATTCGATTCACTCATTACAGTTTTCGCATTCACCATAAAAACTCGTCCATCACCAATCAATCATCCATGCACCATAATACCGCATTCTCTCAAGGGAGACCTAGAAAACGCGCCCCATGCCATAAAAATTTAATGATAATAAATTATTATATTTAATAATTTAATCATGAAGTATGAGAGGAGGGAGATGAACCCAATAACAAACTAAATATAAACACAAAGCAAACTAAACATAACTGATGTTAGTAGGGCCCTCAAAAAAAAAAAAAAAGAGAGGCCGCTGTATTCTGCCCATTGGACAAAATCAAGAAGCTCTCTTGCTAAGGGAGTAACTGCCAGCTGCTATTCTTCAAAATAAAAAAAATAACCGAAAATCTTTATTGGTAACGTTCTATTTGTTTCTTTTTATTTACTTATGTAAATTTATAAAAACGCTTTCGGTTGAAAAAGCAACTTGTTTTATTGGGTTTTTTTAAGAGTTTGCTGTACCACATTTTTTTTTTCATTATGATATCTTTATCTATAAAAAAACATATCTTTATCTACAAAAAACGAGTTGAGTTCTAAGTTTACTGTTTTAACAGATTTGCAAGAGAAATGTAAATTGGCACGGATTATTGCCGTTATGACGAATCAAATGATTTATTTTCGACGGGAAATGCAAATTTTGTGGCTACGTTTTCAAATTACCGACGCAACTGAAAACGATCCCGCTATTTTATGAATGATTCATATTTAATATATTTTAAATTGCGATAAATCAGTGATTTCTTTTTGTTTTTCGCTGAGAAACTTTTGAAATCTACGCATTCACTCGGACATACTGAAATATATATATATATATATATATATATATATATATACATTTAGCCTGCTGCTTCTGCTCTGTATTTAGATATACTTGATAAAATATAAAGAATCAGCAATATTACTGAACCTGACCTGGCATCTCAGCTTCAGTCATTTTCCCACAGCCGTAGTTTAGCTTCCCTGTGCCTTTTCTATCAATATTTTTATGGTAGAAATGGCTAGATATAATCGTAAGTTCTCTGCTAAGTTTTTCTCGTATGTGGAATTCTTTTTCGGTTTGTAAATCAATCGTTATATTTGGTTTTAATTCCTGTTCTTTCATTGTTCTCTCTCGTTAATAGGTTTTTCACTAACCCCTTGCGTCTTAGTGGTTTTGCTGCCTTGCTTGGGATGAAATGATTAAAACATATATACGAGCTGGTTTTAACTGATGTCGTTTGATAATAAATGGATGCAAATTTGAATCTAAATTATCGATCTGGTAAGGTTTCCAAATCCTAAAATACAAGCGATGCCAAATCAGTCGATCTTTATTTATAATATTTTACAAAACCCGTTTTGCATTTTACAGTTAAATATATCCAGAAGCGTATAAAGATATTTCATACAATATCCAAATTACCTGATTTTACTTATATTCGCCTGAATAAGTTTGCTGACGTTTCCTGTCAAAAAGATTTTCAACTGTGTAGCCGAATTAAAATCCCAGTTGCTCTGCCCCCTTCATTTTCGCACACATGCTATTAAGAAAGGCGTAAAACCAATTCTTTTGTCCTTGACTCTAGACTGAATAGTACAGTAGAAAAGACTATCTAGCCTTGCGTATCAGCTAGTGTTAGAACTACTACACCGAATTCAAAAGTGTTCCACTATCCTTCGGAAGAAAAATCAATTCACAGCTAATAATGATGTCTAGGAAGAGCCATGATTGCATAGGCCGCGGAATGATAATTATACTTTCTACTTTTCAAAAGTATCTTCAGAAACTTCCGCTCATTCCATAAACATGTGTAAAATACGTATATACTGGATTCTCCCTGGATTTTGAATTCTGGTTGCTAACCAAGATTTATTTAACCGTTATTTATCCATAGCTGGGCAGAAGAGATGGAGTCATATTTTTCCCCCCAAGGAGATTTACAAGTAAATGAATGTAACAATCTCTACGCAACTCGAACGCTGCTCTTCCATTTCTCAATGTGAGCCGATATCCATTTACATACACCCACACAAACTCGTGTGTGTGGAGACCCATAGTCCCCCAGGTCCTGAAGGACCATGGCACATAGAACACATAGAAGCATACTTATAAACAAAAAGTTTCGACCACAACATGCAACATCTTATTCAAACATTGAGAAAATACAAACTTTTTCGGTTCTTTTTAATCAGACTGGATGAATATTTGCTGCCTCACTAACTTTTTCATACATATACGGTGCGATCGATAAATTGTCGTCTAAATTACACCAAAATGAAAATAACACTGACATCTCATTTTAACAAATACATTTACCAAAATTACACAAAAATATCTTTACATAATAAAGAGTAAATTTATTCAATAAAATCGCTATTGGCTTCAACCATGGCCTCAAGACGACTTCGTAATCTCCTGTATCCCTTTTGGACGGTCCCCTTGTTTAAGTTGATGAATGCTGCCATAATCATTGTCTTCAGTTCATCTTTGGAGTTAAAAGGACTTTTATTGGGACTCTCGCTCAACTCCGCGCCACACATAACAATCAAGGCGGTTGCAGTCTGGGGACTTAGGTAGACAGCTGTTATGGATGATGTGGTCGCAGAAATTGTTTGACAGCCATGACTGGGTTCTCTTGCTTGTGTGACGTGGTGCAGTGTTCTGTGACCAGACATAGGGTCTTCTAGCAGCCACCCTCTTGACCAGAGAAGCACAAACTCCTCAATATACTTGATGTGGGCCTCCATGTTGAGTCTGAGGTCCCGTGAGAAGATAAATGGCGGTATAACGTCGCTGTCACTAGTGCTCACGTCAAACATTCGTAATCACTCATTAGACTCATCCAGTTATTTCCGAATCCTCTGCACTGTCCTCAGATTAACACTGAAACAATTCTCCAGTGTTTGCTTTGGAGGTTCCAGCGTAAATGCCAAGCAGTATAGCATGCCGTTTCCAAATTTCTGGCGGAGTGAATTTTGTCATGGTGTTCTTTTTCTCGCAGACGGTGCCCAACTGACCCTACTATAGTGTACAGTCGACAAAATCAGAAACAACGTGTATGCGCGAAATTACAAATATAAAATGGTGACAATTTAGCCATCGCACTCAGTATGAGTGCATAATGTGTGTGTGTGCGTTTAAAATTTCTCAAGACACAATATGTGAACTTATCTGTTTCTTATTTTACGCTTACTAGTTTCATCTAACAAAATAGCGTGGCAAATTTACTTTAAAATACTATATATATTTGTAACATCTTTTTCTCCTCCCCCCAGATATGTAGATAAGCCTTTTTTTTTTTTTTTTTTTGCAAATCGTAGAAGGCTGAATTATTCGGGTAATATTTTTAATCAATGCTTATTTTAATGATTTTTACAGACACCATTAAAATAACAGGTTACTTCGCAGACTTTTGTTTTTTGATCGATCCTTTTGACTTATTTCAGGAAAACAAAACATCTTTATGAGTTTTCAATTACCTCGCACTCTGTGGTCCGACGAGATCTGAGTATTCAGCCATGAACTGCTTCAATTTACGCCAGTAAAACGATACTCACCGGAAGCAGCAATGTATGATTGTTAATTATGGAACCAATCATCTGTGCATGCGTGAAAGTCAATTCTAGACAGACGTAAACGATAATTGCCATAGTCTTTGTAGACTGATAGAACATTAAACTGTAGACGCCATTGCGTCTACGCTTCATATCTTATTCTTCATCCTGCGTTTGCAAGCGTCTTATTTCTACAGTCTCGTAATATCTCCCGTGGTTTAATTAGATTTCTGACCGTGATGAACTATAATATCATTGAAAGGAGTCACTCTACTAGAGATACAGGCCCCATCATTTGCCAAATTTCATTTTGATTTTCTAGTCATGTAATTCAATTTTTTGTCTTTGCCTTTTAAAAATTGGCATCCATTTCGTGATTTCTTGATTACAATGACAGAAAATGGTTCCGTTACTGACAAACATTTTTGCAAGTTGAAGTTATTTTTCTGAAAAATTATTTTAAGCAAGTAAAAGTCAACTGATTTTATTTCATTTATTCGGCTTTCATTCTGAATTTTAAATATGGATGCACATTTTTCGAACAAATCGTGGAAAATATGCATTTTAGCTGTAGTTTCTCTGCACACGCGCACTTACATCATGTAATCATCTAACACAAAACAAACACACACACACACACATATATATATATATATATATATATATATATATATATATATATATATATATATATACACATATTTTTTGATATATACATTCCTCGTATTATCGGAGATGAAGCATTTATTGATAAAACAGTAATGACATAGGAATCAACCCTACACAGTTGCTGTCAATTTAACATCTCACGCGATCTTCATAATGCCCTGGTTCTATATATAGGTAAATGAGGATATATGAAATTGAAACACATGATCTGAAGATCGCGTGACGCTTGAAACTGGCATTAAACATTCAAATCTGTTACATATATATTAAAGTGTAGCTCCATAAGTCTGCATTGTGATACTATTTAAACACATTTTACTCTATAATGTCTTATCCAATTGATCTTAAGCTCTGAAGTTAATTGATAAAGAAATTAATATTAACAAATGAATATTTGCTATGGAAATTAATGCTTACGTTTGTATTATTAAACTACAGAATAATTGATCCCACTGTTATATACGTAAGAAAAGGATATACAAATAACGTTTGTGCACACACACAAGATAAAGCTAGATTGTGAAAATCGAAACGACATGATAATGTACACTTTCACGTATCAATCTATCTGAGGGTTTTTCTTTTGTGAAATATGTGAGAATTTTACATGATGTTTATATGCAACATGTGTGCGTGTGCATAAACCCTAAAATGTCAAATGTATATTTTTCACGATATGTTCAAAATTATGCATCCCATAATGAAAATTTACTTTATATTTTGCCATCAACTATTGTTTTATGTCACTGCCACAGACTTTCACCTTATTAAAACCATGACAATTATAGTGGAGTTAAATTTACCAAATCTAAACAAATTACAAAACATTAAATAACTTAAAATCCCATCTTAATCTGGCAGAGAAATTTTCATCATCTTATTATAAGGATCTGGTTTCTGTTCGAACAAATAAGAAAAAAGAACGAACAAATAAGAAAATGAAAATCATAAATTAAACTCCACTGCTCTCGTCATGGTTTTAATCATAGTAAAATGTCGTCAGTGACCTACTACAATAGTTAATGGAGAAATGTATGTATTTAAAAGAATCAATCTCCCATAACTACCTTGCCGCCATTGCATTGGTTACAGTAGACGGTAATGACAATATTAGCTGTTTTCCTTCAAGGAAACATTTAGCATTCATTGAGCGAGTAGCCAATAAACTTTTTTTTTTTTTTTTTTTTTTTTGGTTAAAATTTATAAAATCTTTCTCTTAAAACACTTTTTAGGACAACTGGTTTCTGAAGTCCCAGTAATTTTTATTGCTCTTTCCAATATTGATTTGGTTTTCATTCCTAAACTTCTATTTGATGTGGTGTGGAATGTTTTATTATGTCATTATTTTGCCTTCGAGTTACATGTGCTATCCAATTTAGTTGTTGCTGCTGTTGGTGGTCCGCAGAGTTGTTACACAGTTAACCGTAATCAAAGGAGTAAGGCTTGTCTACATATTTACGTATATAAATAACAGGTTTCGTTTCAAGATCAACACCTAAAACTTTACCTACTGTGATTATAAAATAATCTACTTGTCTAAAGAACCCTGAGTGCGTATCAAAGTATCCTTCTCTATACGAAAGCTTTTATTTCACGTCGAATTTACGACAAACCTATTTTATTACAGGCAAATAAAAAGAAAATGCTACGGTAGTATTTTCAGTAGATTTAAATACAAGATATAAATTTTCATTAGTTTATTTATTTTTCATGTGAAAACCGGTTAAAAGCGTAGTTTACTGAAAGCTTCATTTACTAACATATCAAGATGCTAAGTATAGGAGTCCCCTGGTGGTAAAAAAAATCATTAACAACCTGCCTCGATCAGCAGACCTTTCGCATATATCCCGATTTTAATAAATGATTACGGTTCAGTACATCTATGTTACCTTCATCTCCTTATATAAAATGACTCTCATTATTTCATGGTGCTTGTTTAACTGGGTTGCCTCTAAAGATGCATTCCGAATATATGCTTTTGTGCCTCAACGTGATAAGGTGTCAGCGGACGACCATGAATTACTAGCATCGTGAAATCGATCAGGGTTAAAATCTCGGGGAAACTGCTGAAGCTGTTCGATGAACTTGTTAAATGTATTAACCTTTACATTCAAGTAAGTGGTTCATATGCAAGGAGTTAAAATTAGCATAACTTAATGTTACATCATGAATAAAATAGCTTTCAGGTTTGTCTTAAACGCAACAGAATTTATCACAAATCAAAATTGCACATATATTGTGTTTGTCAAATATATATATATATATATATATATATATATATATATATAAAATACTACCTCCTACGTAGAAGTTTGTACGATACGTTGATCTGATTTCCAGACTGTTTAATCGAATTTTGTAATATAATTTATTTCTTTACGTCTTTTTGATTTGCTGTTCTACTGTTTACTTGTAGCATATTCGCAATTTGCTGCGAATTTCTTTTTTTTTATAGAAATAGCGAGAGTCTTAGCGTTCATATAGTTTGTGAGAAAGAAGGGAGTTTTGTATATCGAGTGGTACACCCGAATCTTTTAATCATATTAATGTTAGGTTCGCTAGAATATTCGTCTTTAGAAGCTCATTGGGTTAATAATTTTGTATTGAAAGTGTGCCATTTATATGAAATACTTCCGTGAGTTTTTGCTTTTAAATATACATTTGCATGTGAACGATTTATCGATGGTGTAATAGTTGCCGAGAAGGCAATTGGAGCAAGCAAGCAGAGTTCAAATCCTAACCTCACCTGGTGAATTCACTTCATACTTATATCCTTCATTCATAAATCAATCTCTTCTTCCCAGTCCCCAGGGAATATTGGGATCTCTAGTCTTAACTGGGCAGCTATCTTGGAGAAATATAATTAAGAATTCAAAAGCACAACAGGAAACTAAGTAATTATATTTTTCCAAAAAATCATAGCAATTCACAAAAAGAAAGCAACAGACATGACCGCCTACCTTCTGAATGGATAGGATATTACTGAAATGTGAAATTACAATATATTAAGCAGTATTTATGTAAAAGGAAAAGTGATGTAAAAATTAAACAAAACGTGTTATTTACCTACGCCGTCTGTAAAATGACGACATCACTTAAGTAATTTTGTAATTGCATTGAACTTATAAAACGTGAAAACAACACGTTTCGCTGCATTTTTTTTCATTAATGTTTAATAATACGTCAATATAAAACTAAAGAAATATTTTAAGTTATTGAATAATTATGAAATCTATTTTACAAAAACATCTTCCCTCCTCATCGGTGTAGTCGCAGACTCAAAAGATAGATAGGTATGAAATGAGAAGAAATGAAAAGTTCTTTTAACGACGACAAAGAATGGATTCCTCCCAAATCTTAACCGAAATCATTTAGTAGGGTGAGAACTTTGCGGCACCCCTTATATATATATATATATAGAGAGAGAGAGAGAGAGAGATGTGTATATGTTTATGGTATATAATCTAGCCAATTTAAGTTGTTTTTCTTTTTGTTTCCACCTTATTTGTTATTAAATAACCAACACCGTGACAACAGAAGTTCTGACAGAAATGGTGAAATGTAAGAACCTGGACGGAAATCCACCGTGAATGAACTAGCGATTAAAGTACTTTCTAAAAATTTTTGTTTTAATGTGTTTAATTAGAGTAGAATTTTTTTTTTATGTCAAAATTGTGAACCGTCACGTTACGGTGAACAACTAATTCGTTTAATGTTTCTTTAAAATGTATATTTTCTGTTATTTAACCTTTTATTTAAACATCTTGAGGTATGTCTAATATTCTTTCAGGCAAATATCAGAGTAAATTCCTCCTTTTAAATATATGTGCGTGTGTGTGTCTGCCAGGTAATTGACAAAAAATTGTCATATAATGAAAAAGAGACCTATTAAATAGAATAAAAAACAGATGCTTATCTTAGAAAAGCAGAAAATAAAACTGTTAAAAAAAAAAACTGTCTTCAGTCTTGAGGGCTACCTCGGAAGGAGTTGGAAGCCCACATTATAGTCTTTTTTATTCGCCATCACTTTCATAATTTTAGTTTTTCAAAGAGTCATATCAGGAGAGCTCACATGTTGATAGGATAAAATCTGAAAAATTCTGGGCTAGCCATTTGTATGGACCATGTAGAAGGATGTCTGAAACTTTTACGGCGACAGTGTCCAGCATCGCCATGTACGCGGTAGCCATTTGCTGTTACACCTGTTCATTTTCAAAAGGCTTAGGCCATATCACATTAAAACACCGATTCCCGTACGATCACCTAAGTTAAGCACCATCGAGCCTTGTCAGTAGCTGGATGGGTGATTGCTTGGGAATATCAGGCGCCGTAATCTTGGACGTGAAGGTTATGCAATGGATAATGCCTCCATTGTTTCCAATTCCAATGGAGTTCGTTATATTCACTTACACACAAATAGCCTTGTGAAAAGTATGAAACTATCTTCCCTCTCCCCCATCTATAGATTAATTTGTAAGACATGTATCATTGAATCAATAACTAAAACAAAATTAAAATTCTTACAGTCTAAAGGTATTTTCTGGCTTTAAATAACCGGCAGACGAAAAATCAATCTTCTTCAATCTGGCTTTCTCAGAGTCGCTATAGTTGTCAGATTGCGCAAAGAACTCTACACATCTTTTACTTTATTGCGTCAGTGAATACTGCTTTCCATAAGTCTGAGAGAGAAATGAATATTAAGAATAGCTCGTAACATGATGCTAGATTGTCTTTTATTTGACTAGTTCGGCGTGTTTCCGAATACCTGGCACACAAATATACAAACTTAATATGCAGGTAAGATATTGACTATCAGCGTGGACAAAGCAAGCACAAGCCGCCTGAGTCTGCAGTGTTCATCTTAGACCCAAACCGCTTTGTACACATTTCTTGTCCCCCCCATCAGCAGGCTGTATAGGTTAAAACCGATTAGTTTCTCTGTCTGACAAACATAGATCATGTAGTGGATAGAAAATGCCTGATACATATAATTTCGTATTTGATTAACACTTTCATTTCTGCTTTGTTATAGTATTGTTACTAGTTATGCTGGCTCATTTGTGATGGGGATATTGGAAATTACCATTTAATACAAACAAATTATAAAGATGCCACCATTTTTAAATTTGATCGGAAGCTTATTATAGACTAAGCTGAATGACACCCCAAACATACAGTAACATAAATATAAGTCCCAAAATAAGTTTTATTATGTTAGTATATGTTGGTTTGGAAATAGTACCAAAATCCAAAAGTAAAAAAAAAAAAAATATCTTGGAAGTGTTTTAACAGAGGACAGAAAGTGCGTCACTGAATGCCCATTATGATTGCCAAAGATTCATTCCAAAAGTTAAGCAGTGTATTAATAAACAGAAAAATTTCGTTAATGTTGTGGTGTCCTCCCTCTAAGAGTCTGTTAGACTCTTCCGCCTGCTATAAGTTTAGTAGGAGAGAAGGTTTGGGGGGAAAGTGAGCCGTGATTAGATTGAGCGCTGGTTCATTTGATAGACTCTCGTTAGTCGTGTAATACTCTTCTGGTGTACTTACTGTTTAATATACGATATATCCGCAAACCTGGTTTTTGTTATTACTTAACCATTTACTTGGTCACAACAGAGACAAAGAAAAAAAGAACTACTGGACTATTACGTGATAATCCTCCTATATGAATGCTGGACAATCTCCAAAGATGAAGAAGAAACAGAAATATCGTTCTAAAGACGATGCTTAGGATAACATGAACAGAACAAGTGAACAAAGACGAAAATGAAGACAAAAAGGAAACTGATACTTAACACCAGGAAGAGACAGTTGAAGTTTTTATCGTACATAATGAGGAAAAAGGGCTTGGAAAATTTTCTACTCAGAGGACCTGAGGGACAGGAAAACACCTCATAATCTACTTAGTGAGCCTCAGTAAATGGATGTCAGAACAACGTTTACGAGAAATAACAAAAATACAATTTATTAAGAGTTACGAAGGACAGGAAATTATGGATAGCCATGATTTCCTACGTACTGAAGGAACACGTCACATAAAGAAGACTAAGTTCTTATAACACAAACCCGACAGATCAAAATTTCACAACGACTTCGAAACGTATATATACGTCGACAGAAGGTAATGTAACTTCCATAACGATTTCAGTACGTCCACAGCAACGGAAGTTTTAAGCAAATCGATGCTTTCCCGCTAAAATTGGTATTGACTAATCTACTTCCGGGAATATATTTATATTAACAATATGTTGTGTGAATTTCATTTAGTAAAATCTGCCTTAACACGTTGACTGCCCAAGATCGATTATGAAATCTGACTTCAAGCGCCAAGTTTGTAATAACCAACTTAAGCAATACAATTTTTTATAAATTGATTTATAGTTTCAACTGAAGTCTTAACATTGTTTTCACACTAAAAGTATCCCTGCGAATAAGCACTTTGTTGGTGCCCGCAGATGAAAACGTATCGGGAACAAAAAGGCATGAGATAAGGCGTAGTCGACAAGAGATAACTCGCAGTCGGCGTGATAATAAAAAAAAGTCTAACATTATCTCATGGGTGGTCGTCAATGTTTGAAGAAAAAAAAAAGCAATTGATTATAACTTTTGTTGGCGTCAGGTTTGATTATGCATACAACACGCAACATAAATTTATATTTACGAATAAATCAAAAAGATATAAACCAGAGAGACTTCTTTTGATCAACACAATATGCTGGATACATGAACCAATTATTTTACTAATTTACACATTGATACGGACTACTTGGCTTTCAATAAGATTAATCAGTCTTTCGCGCATTAATTTTGTTAGCAGTTACGCTATTTCGATTTTTACCATTAGTTAGTTGCCAATATCGATCTTTGTAAGATAATGGTAGCGACTTGGTTGATTAGAATCCGCTCCGCTGAGAGCAACATCTAAAATCAAACTCAGCAAGCCCTTTCTTGAATGCCAGCCTAATACGCTGGTAAGGCACGCGAGACTCGCATCTAGTGCATGATCTTAATCTGGCTATCTTTGCGCTCTGTTACATTTTTTTTCTTCTTTTTACCCTCCATCTGGTGATTAGGATTCTCATTGCCTTCCTTGATGCCTTCTCGAACAGCCTTTAACCAAACGGGCTACACATTTTTATAAGAGAAAAATTGGAAAGAGTTTATAAATTTAAAATGCTTGGATTCTTCATTAAGGCTGCATCAGAAATTTCTAATGAAGTTACAATAAATATAGCGAAACATGTAAAATTTTAAGATTTTTCTTATTAGTTCCTTATTTATCCAATGTCGGATTTAGTTCATATTTCTTTCTCTCTCTCTCTCTCCTCCCCTATATATATATATATATATATATATATATATATGTGTGTGTTATTGAAAACTGAAAACAAACCCAGATCGCTGAACCTCCATTACCGACTGCCTGGAAAATGCACGTATAGCACACAGGGAATTGATGGTCGTACACGTACAGACATACATTGGAGGATTGATTTGATACATGTTCAACTATTGTTTTTTTTTTCCGAGTTTCACTTAAGTTTGCTCCGTCGGAAGTCGCTTTCTTTTTTCTGTGTTAATAGTATAATATGTTTTTATAATTCAAATCAGGTTGTTATTTAGAATAAGTGATAACAGTAAAGAGTTCACAAAAATTCAAATAACTCACCTTGAAATGCATTTCACTTGCCAGTATACTAAAAGCGGTTAATAAATTTATGATTTCAGCAAATTTACTTGGAAACGAGCTCGGAATGGTAAAAAGGCCTATGTAGAGATCAATGCTGTGGATAATCCTAAGAGTTAGAAATTAGCATGGATCATCCGACAGGAAAAGATGAAAGATATCCTAGAAGGGATTGAGCTAGGCACATCAACAAGAAAAAATAAAGGAGAGTAACTATGTGAGGTTGACTGGTTGTTGGCCACTCGGTAGTAAACGTCAAACGTTGTGCATGTCGAAATCTGAAGGAACATTGTAATCGAAAAAAAATGTCTTCCAGCAACTAAGCAACGTATTAAGAAGTAAGATCTATTTAGAAACAAAGAAAATATTAGTGAATTAAGTAATATCTAAGCTCTTATACGGTAGGGAATATGGGACAATCTCTTCACAGATGAAAATATTTGTAACGACAAATATAGATTTACCAAGAAATACTAAGTATAGCATGAACAGAATATCTTATCAAAGTAGACGGTTTAAAGGAAAATGGTAACTACAAGAAAACTGATACTTAGAGACATTTGAAATTACTGGGACGCATAAAGAGAAAAATAGGCGTAGTGAATTTAACACTCAAAGGAAATATTGAAGAAAATAGAAGAACATATTTGATTTGAGTTTGTGTGAATGGCTGCTAGAACTAGGACAAAGATATATGCTGAAGGGTTAGAAGTTAGAACAACAAGAAAACGGGAAGTTGTTGAGGGCCATGAACACCCACGTTATGAAAGAACACGACACCTAGCTTATTCTATTTTTTATTATTAATTTTATTTTTTAGACAGGGAAGAAAGGCTACAAGTCCTCCTCTGAAATTAGCGGCAAATATCTGTCGACATTTGATAATGTATAACAATACTTAATATTTTTGATATCCATAAAATTTAATATCAGCTATGTGGCCGTTTAAAAAATGATAGTCTTTTCGGTGATATTTAACTTGGTTACTGTTAATTCATTTTACGAAAATGTGTTATTCTGGGAACTTTTAAAGTACTTGTCAACGAACTGGTTAATAAACGGCGATTTAAAAAAAATCACGGAGCGAAAATTAGATGTTGTTTGTGAATGTCTAATTTACGCATCCTGGGTATGATGATAAACTCCATCTGTCAGCAAGGCTTCTGGTCAGACGATTGACTGTTTTGAGGATCGTGTGACCACCTCTTAATTATTATTGTACCCAGGTTCATTCTGACCCGGTGTGGTAGCACCTGTAAGGGTCCCAGCTATGGGCAAATAGTGAACCACCACACAAAAACAAAACACTATGAAAGTATAAAATTAAATTTTTATAGTAAAAATACAGAAATACATTTTTATATAACAAAAAAACGACTAGCAATAAAGTATCGTAGAATTACCAATAATACATTTTATCTGTAGTTGAAGGCATACAATCGCCTTTAAAATATTTAAATTTCGGCTTTATTAAACCATATAGGTTGATATACTTCGAAATTAAATCAACCAAACTACCAACATGAAAGAACTCTTTCATAACATTAATCCATAAAATATCTTACATTTTCTTAAAGAAAACAAACTATATTCCAAAATATAACTTAAATAAAACTACAACATAAAACACATGTACTCATTATGACC